AAGCAGGTCTAGTTCAGCAACTTTCAAATTCTTCGAAATATCGGACAACCTGCTTAGCCACTAACACTGACTCTAAATAAAAGATGGACAAACCCACCGTGACGTCACCCACTGGTTTTCTGAAGAGCAGTCTTGAAGCTCAAGTCTGGCCGTTGCCATCTTGGTAATGCTTCACTGCTACGGCTGAACCCAAAATGGGCACAGAGGTGGAGCATGCGTGGAGCTCGCCAGACAGCTAGCGGCCAGCCACCTGTGGCGGGACCCTCCCACCTGTCACTCATCACTGTCAGGATATGCAATACCAGACTTCTCTTGAGTTCCATGTAAATGTCATATGATCAAAACCAGGATACTCATTGATCTTTACCCAGTTGGAAAAACACCAAGCAATCAGAGTGACAACATCACCCTCCTGTGCAAAGGTCAGAAAAACTGTGATGGAAAAATGGCCTCAAAAATGCCAACAGGTTGCTACAAATTTTTTTTTTTTTTAATTGTCATTGTAACATTGTGACACGTCCAACGAATTTGTTTGGAGCCAAGAGCCCCAGGCCGCTGCGTGCGTACACGCCGCCATCACGAGCAACTTGGGGGGTTCAGTGTCTTAGCCAGGGACACTTTGACATGTGGACTGCAGGCACTGAGATTCGAACCTTCAACCTTCGAGACGACTGCTGTACCCACCACACCACTGTCATACCACCCATAACTCTTACACTGACATTTCTCTTCATATTTTCATTAATGATTAGTTTGTGATTTCCCACAGCCCAAAGTGATGTCTTCAAATACCACTGGTATAAAGCCCAAAGACCTTTCCCTGACTGTCATGTATGACATTAAGAAGGCTGGAACTAGTAATGACATTCTTGCTTAAAATGGTTATTATCTGACTAATCGTTGCAGCTTTACTTTCTTTGTACTGGTACAGAGGAGAAAACACTGTCAGACACTTCCAGGTTCATTTGAAACCCTTCATCTAGACACAGTCTTCATCGGGGCGGCAATAAAAGCAGACCAATTACACTTGGTACGCTACACAGACAATACACCGGACGTCAGCAGCGTAACCCTGTTGACTTGATGCATTGTGTCTGAAGGACGGTTTCATTAGTGCGACCAGCCTTCAACAACACCTCGTGTCGTACAGATCCCTTACATTTGGTGTTTGTTTGTTTTGCTTTCTGGGGGCAGGACAGATTTACCAGAAACCGTTAGACCATGTGATCTTACAAGCTGCTGCGCAGTGTGTGTCCAGATGTTTGCTGTCCTTAGGGACAAAACTGCCAATTTTGGGGAAAAGGGCACAACAGGAAAACAACTGATCAGATTTGAAACAAAAAAAAAAAAAAACAAAGTCAATAAAACTTGAGAGGGAGATAAAGATGATCTAAAGTAATGAGCAAACAAAGGTAAAGGCCTTTTCATGACAGGGTCACATATTTGTACAGACTATCTGCACATGACTTTTAAAAACTGGATCTCACGGTGTGTAATGAAATGCTCCACATCAGTGCTGAATGTCTGCATGGCAGAACACCTCAAGGCAACATGAACCACGCTCATCTCTATCTGGAGAAAGAAATTAAATCACTCAGACGGACGCCAAATTCAGCAGCAAGGAATGAAAAATACAGATGATTAAATGCCAACTGAGCAACATGTCTGGTCAAACAGGGAACCCTGGCCTTCACATTCACACAGACTTCACCCCCGAGCCCTCCCAGCCGACGTGGAACATGGGTTTGGTCCAACAGCAGCAACACAGTGTGTGTGCATGTGTGTGTTTGTGCCGAGTCTCCCCGTGAAGAGCACCAGCAGCGAGGGAGGGCGGACACTATGACTATGACACACACAGAGTTTCTGACCAGCCCGTGCTCTCCAGTGATTCACTACACAAACACACACTTCACTCACTCATACACGCACAACCTAGCACGCTTGTACTCTCAAACACACCCACACACACAGCCTCTCACTGTTTCATAAAGCACCAGTAGCACTCAAAATACACGTGTGTGTGTGTGCGTGAGTGAAATAAAGACAAAAAGGAGTGAGTGGAAAAAAGCCTGTGTGAAAGATGCAGCTGTCACGCGTGCTTTCTGCATGTGTGTGAAATAAAAAACAGTTTGACAGAGCAACAAAGAGCATGTGTGATGGTAGCTGTCGCACAGTGTGTGTGTGTTTGTGTGTTCGTTCTGGCTCGTATAGCTGTCATAAACCCTCCTGAATGAATGCCACTGAGGGCAACACAAACCCAGAATGGGGTCCATTTCAATTGCCACAAATATTAAAAAAGCATGTGTCGAGTTGCAGTTTTGGGTGATAAAACTCAATGAGGTGGACAGTCTAAATGGTGAAATAAAAGCCTTCCGTGGCTGCTCAGTGTGTGTGTGTGTGTGTGTGTGTGTGTGTGTGTTGGGGGTGTGGATTGGGGTGACAGGTCAGGTGGCAACAGCAAATCACAGCTGCACCTCCCTTGGAACTGGCGAAATGTGTGAGAGTGTGTCAGAGAAATAGCAGCGTGTCAGAGCAGGAAGAGGAAAAGCGAGAGTATGTGTGAGTGTGTGTGTGTGTGTGTGTGTGGAAGTCTCAGAGTGAGCAAGGGAAGCGCACGAGAGCTGTGTGATGTGCGGGTGTGTTGGCGTTTGTGACAAATAAAAAGCAGCCAGAGCACGAGCGAGCGCGTTCTGATTCCGAGACTGGCAGCATGACTGACTGATCCCTGCATCCATATCATAGGATTAAAAAGCCTGACACGGCAGCAACACAATAGCAGCAAAATATGAGACAAAAAAAGTCGGTCAATGGGAAAGGAAATGTGATTATGAACCAGAACAGGCGAGGGAGAGATAATATCAAATAAAAAAAAAAAAATGACACACTTTCCAACAAGAGGCGTACAGTGCAGCAGCTGGGAGGAGGTGGATGTTAACGCTGTCACCGGGCAGTATAGAGCAGGAGCTACTGCCAAATATGAGCCTCTCCAATGATTTCCAAGAGCCAAGACACACTTCAGTCACACTGCCAGGGATGTGGTGGAGGGTAAAACCTGCCCAAATGTAGTTTACACACCTGTTCTTCTAAGCCTGGCAGAAATCTTCCTCCTGTACTGTAGGTCCAAGCTGAAACCAAACCGCAGTGCATCACACGAGGAGATCAGGGAAAGAAGCGGGGAAACTAAGCAAAACTGGGGGGTTTGGTTTATTATATTGTGCTGCCTGGGGTCACAGGTTTGTTGCCACATCACTTCCTAAGGTCTTAACCAGAAAACACTTTTTTTTAATCCATGATTTTATGCAAGAAGATTAGGGCAGAAAATTAGGTCGGAGAACCCACTAATGGTGACATGGATGAAGGTAGAGGAGGAAAAGTTTGATTATGAGCAGAATCTTGAGAAAACAATTTCCACATCATATACTGACAGTCCTCTTCTCCACACAGACAACACGGCAGCAAAAGCACATTTCCTTATGCACAGTCTGAGCCAACATGCCAGCTAAAAAACCACTTTGCACTACAGTCAGTCCCTGCATAAACCAGTCAAACTATACCATACACAACTGGATTTAAATGTAAACTCACCAAATTATTGTGTAATTTGTTCAGTCTAGATGTATACAAAGCGTGTTTCCCTATAAAGAGTAACTGAGCGATCTAATATTAGAGAAACCTGACCGCTGCTTTCTTCATAAACTGGTTTAAGAACAAATTACAACGTTCACTGACAGTTTCTTCAATAAAACAGTTTAGACCCGGAGCAGTGCACATACTGGCAGTCTGTGCAAACCAGCAGGAAACCAGCCTGCCATTAACTGGCATGAAGTCAGTGGCAAAACCGTTCCGATTTAACATTAAACCAGTTAAACAGCGTAACTTAAGAAACGCAGCAGACTTATTTTCCCCATATTCACCTGTTAAACTCTTTAAACCCACAAAGCAACAGCCCGTTTCAGCGTGACACGGTGCTACCAGCCCGGAGGCTGTCGTACAGTTAAGTACACCGGCGGCCAGGCGCTATAGAAAACAGGCAGAAAAGCGACAGCAGCGTTAAACACATTTATTTTAAATACACAAACCAGCTCATATGGCGCATCATGATACCGGGGCCCTATTTTGGTGAAAAACGCCGGTGAAAGCCCAGGTCGCCGTCAGCTCCGCTGTGTTTCTGTCCACCCTGCTGACGGCGGTTTCACCTCAGATGACCCAGGCAGCCAGACTGGCTGTCTGCTAGCTAGCCCCGTTTGAACCTAACATACAGCGGGCGACAACAACAACACTTGAACCAGCGCTACGAGCCAAACTGACACTTGCTCCACCGAGACGCGAAAACAGAAACACCGGGAGTATTTTCTGCTCGGCTCGGCGGAGTAACGCCGCCTCGGAGGGGGAGAAGGGGAGAAGGAGCCAGCCAAAACAAACGCGTTTCCCGACATGAAAGCGTAAGATCCAGAAACGGGCAGCCACGTTTCGCGCTGCTCTGTGCGGGGAAGGCTAAGGCTAAAGCACTTAGCTTCACCGGGGTGCCCGTCATTAGCAGCGGCTAAACGGCTAACGGCTAGCTCCTCTGGCTAAAAGAAAAAATAATAATATGTGCACTTTCACCGGGGGTGGAGGAGGAACTGCAAAAGTTGGCTACCAGGGGGAGGAAAAACAATGCGAACCGGACGGCGTTCACTTGTCTGACAACTATCCTAAAAACTGCCCGAGACCTGTCGCACAGCAACCAAAGTTGCCTGACAGCCAGGTATCAAACTGTGGTAATTGTAGACTGGCTGCCGTGGAGGTTTGCTGGGTGAGAGCAAGGTGACTGCCACTCCGAGAGCTTGTGATGGAGGGGACGGTCGCTAGCAGCAGCGGCAGCCTGGGCAGAGACAGCCAGCCAGCCAGGCGGCTAATCTGCCTGCAACCAAGCCGCTTTAATAACTTCACTTTTGTGACCACTTTGGTCAGAGTTCCTCTCCAGGAGTTAAAAATAAGAAGTTTCCCCTGTGTCCTACCTGTGAGTAGTCTGTGGCTGCAGGGTGCGACGCGCTGGAAGTTGATTATTCCCAGATATCCAGAGTGGTGCGGTGCGGGGCGCATATAGCTAGCGCTGAGTACAGTAAAGATTGTAGCATAGCTAACCTAAAGACAACAGTAGAGAGGAGGGAAAAAAAGCCTCCTCGTTGCTCATAGGGGGGATCGACGACAAAAACCACATGATCTTTTACGTCAGCATATATTTGCATAGGATGCCAAATTTACGTTTCGTGTTCAGGTGACGTGAAAATGTACAGAAAAGTTTGATTATGGCGCAGCCGGACGCTGGCACGACTGCTCGGGTTGCGGTGGAGAGGCACAGGCATGTGGCAGACATGCAACCCTGCCCCCCTCTTGCAGCCCGGGTCTGCACCGCTCTACATATAGCATGGGTGGCTGTTGGTAAACATCACGTAACCCTCCTATATATTGATGCAGCAACTTGTGCTGGGTCTGTGTATTGAGTTTGTAGTGACTTTATAATATGCACCGTCACTTTTATCTGCAGTGGTATCACCACGCTCCCTCTGCAACATCCCTGGTAGCACTTAGTTTTGATCTCATGTATAGTATCCTCTCTTCTCTTTGTTTTACAACAACCTATCCAAGTATAAAACCTAAATTAAGCAAATGTTTGCAAAAGCCAGTGTTCCTGAAAATGTAAACGAAATGCATGGAGTTATGATAACCAGAAAAAAAAAATGTGTGTGTTAATTTCCTGATAACACCTGTTTGATCCCGGAGCCGACCTGCCAAACAGCAGCATCACACCCTGTGAGCAGCTCATGCTGAATTAGCTCCTAAAGAAACCTAGAACAGCTGTGGTCGGAGCTGGGACTGGTAGCAAAGTTTCGCTGTTCATCGCGCTGCTGTCCACATTTCACCGGGCTCATGTATTTTTTGATAAATGGCCTTGTTGTAGTTGATCAGATGCAATAAATGTAGAAACGTCCCTTGGCGCTTGTGTGAAAAGGTGGCAAAGGGCGACGCCTACAGGCCAATCTGAGAGCTGTACCTCGCCTGACGGCATGGTTAGGATATATTGTGTTTGTTTCATGAGTCATTTCAAGGTCAGGAGAGAATTTTCTGCTGATTCAGTGACCTTTGACCTCTGTGGTAGCGTGTGTGTTAACAGAAAGATTAATAAGTTCTATTCTGGGTGTAATTCTATGACTGAATGCCCAGTTTCTGCACTTAGACATAGTGTTAAAATATTTCTGAGGTGCTTTATAGAAGGTTTAGTCAAAAATGTAATCTTTTTCAGTTGTTAGATTCAAATATATATTTTTTCAAAATACCCATTGGATTGCTGCTGCAGATGTATTTGTTTTACTCCCTCATATAGGTTTAATTTATTTTACTATTTTGCAATTATTTTATTACATTTTCCTTTTTTTCATGTACATTAGTCTGATAGTGCTTTACTGATTCTGTGTCTTATTCAGTTGTCAGTTATCTACACAGCACATTAAAATGCAGTAACCTTTATAAAAATTTGGTTGATTGGATTTAGTCCTGCTCAAATGTACTGCCACAGGCTTGTGTTAGGACTTAACTTATTTAGAGCAACACAGTTGAATGTTTTTACCTGTAGTTTTATTTGATCAGTCGGGTTCAGTATTGGTTAATTAGGATTAGATGATTAAAGTGAGCAGCAGAGCAGGCAGCTTTCGAGGTGTTTTCATATTGTCTCCAGTAAATGGACCACATCCTGACATGGCCTGGATTTTTTCCCCAAACAACTGTTAAAATCTTGTATAACCACCCGCAGCTGCAGGGTTTCGTCCTCTGAGCCACACACCTTCGACAGCCTGACAGTCTGGAGTTTATTCAAAGTCAAATCAGCTCAAGAAACTGCTTATGGTGTAACTATCCCAAGACCCACTGTGCTCAGATGTGACACACAGGCTGATGAAAATAATTCAGGGCCTTCAAAACAGGACTGATGCCACAGCCCGAGTCATCCTTGCAGAAGAGTTTCCTGCAATTGGAAGCTCTTGCCAGTGTCTCCAGAATACACAATCAGGTAATGTTGCCAGGCAAAAGTGCAGGCTCTAGCCAATAAGCAGAGTTTTGGCCAACATTGCTTAGCAACAAAAGTTAAAAACCGAGCCACTCAAGGCTTAAAATAGTCTTTAAAATAGTAGTAATCAAAAGCCATGAGTGTCTCAAATTTGTGCAGATAGAAGGCTTAGGAGGCAACAACTGGCCTGAAGAAAAGCAAAGAGAAAAGAAAGTTCGTCCCTAGGTCGACTCCTGCTCTGACTAATGGATTCCTGCCGTAGAGGTGGACTCTGCATTAGTCAACAATAATCAAAGGTCTATTATTTATCCCTAAAACCATGGACAGATTAAAGGGCAGTGGGCACAGGAAGTAAGACCCCCCACAACTCTCCTACAGAGGAGCAAGACACCCAGACTGCACAGAGACATAACACGACTACAACCAGTAGTTTTGTCCCTGTTTCGCCTTGAAACACAAGCTTTGACCCAGGGGTTCGCTGATCTCTCGGGCCCCCTGGGTGCCCGGCAGGCCCAGTCAATAATCCTTCCATGTCTATTGTGTATTTAAAACAGTGACCTCTCACACAGCAAGCTGACAAAAGTTAACTTTGGTGGCCCAGAACTTCAGAATCTAGACGAGGAAACAAAAGCTCAGCAGAATAAAACCACGGGAATCATCATATTTTTGTTTTAATTCACATTCACTCATTACCCAGGTGGCCATTTGAATGATGCAGGCCACAACAAAACAGGAAAATGTGAGACACACCCTGGAGAGAATTTGCATATTATTGTGGTTAGACAAAAAAACCAATCATGCTTGGGTAAAAAGAGTGATCATAAAAAGGATATCAGAAACACAAAGGAGGCTTTTAGCAGGTTGTTAATCACACAGCAGCTAAGAAAGTCAAAATACAAACGCTGTAAACCCTGAAGTTTGCAAATGAGGAGACTAAAAAATGGCACAACGGTCTGCAATCATGTGGCTTTTCCAAGGCTGAGCATTTTCTTTTTTTTGTCTTGTGACAGGAGTGCTTGCAGCCGCCGGCCACTTTCCCACAATTAGTCAAATGAAACCGCTTGAAAAGGAAAAATAAAAGCCATTATTTGGTGCCACAGTTCAGCACGCTGTAGTCAGGGGATGTGCGAGGGGCTCTAGCACAGTTTTTAGGGGAGAAAAAGTATTTCAGAGGTTGTATCTGTAGTAGTACAACAGGGAGGAGTAACAGTGGCCGTGAATCACACACAAGTAGTCAGATGTTTGTGGTACCATAAAATAATCAAACTTTGCAAATATACAAACCTTTGAAAAGTCAAGGTGATTTTCACTATTAACTAGTGCCCATCCAGTCTAGCCACCCCACAGCAGTGGTCCTTCACTTGCTACTCAGTCAGAAGGGTAGTCCCTGGGTTACAGTCAGCTGAAAACCCTGAGCAGTGCAGGTGAAGAGCAGCTGTCCAGCATGCTGGAGTACAGAGAGAATGATATAGTCAGATGTTTTTTGGTTTGACAACATCCCCTAACACTTTCCCACTGTCAGAAAAATCATGGTGGTGTGAAAGTACCGTGGGTGTACCTAATAAACTGGCGACTGAGCGACTAATTCATCACTAAAGTGTACGGTGTTAAATGTATACAAAAGCTTGTCAGTGGTCGACCTGACATGGAACATCCACATCAACACTCTGCAGCTAAACAAGAGTCATGTGACAGATGGGTGCCTCACCTGACAACACCTGGGGTCAGTCCTTACAGAGTGGAAGTCAGCAGCACCAGCTCAGGCCATGGAAGCCAATGTGTTATCGATGTGTTTAAAGGTCTCCACATCTTTAGTTAATTGGTTTGTACCTGAAGCCACAGATTTCCTGGCTGACACCCTGAAAACCTCTTGCTCACAGTGACATCACAAAGTGAACAAAAAGTTAAAAATGATTACTTGTGCTGTACAGTTAAAGCAAAACATGGCCCAAGTGCTGTGTTGGAGCTGTACCAGTCACCTGATAAAGTCGGACTCAGAGGTTGAAACCCGGATTTCTTAGACCTAAAGTATCTGATCAGCTGCAGGTTTTAGTTGAGGCTCTTCTTCTTTGGTGCTCATTAATAAGTCACCTGCCTCACTCTGGTGCTCCACGGCCCTCCTTGATGCTTTATTCATCACCAGGAGAAGGACAAGAGCGGCACGCTGCATGGACACATTTACATACAAATGAACTGAGGATTCATTATTAATGCGCGCACACACACACACACACACACACACACACACACACAGAGGGCCGTCCTCTGCTGCAGTGAGTGTCAGTAATTACAAACATCAGCGATACAGCACAGTATCAGGGAGTGTGCATGTGTGTGGTGGTGGTTGGGGGAGCAGGAGTTTATCAGATTTTGCAAGGTTGATCATCCCGACTTGTTTACACACGACCCATCTTGTGAGCTGACGACGCAGAGACGGAGCGAGAGGGGCAGGAGTTTTCTGCTCGGCTGCCTCGTCTCTGTTTTGTTTTTTGTGTTTATTCAGATTCTGAGGAGAAGCCGAGCTGCCTCGCCTGCTCTGCATAATAACATCTGCCTCGAACCGTTGGGCTCATTTACACTCAGATCAGATGAGCATTTATAAAGCTACAGTATTAGAACAGAGAGGTGAGAATGAGAAGGTTCTTTTTGGAGACTGGAGAAATCTATGGAAGTCTGGCCATGACATCAAACATACTACTGAACATTTTTCTTAATTCTGTTCATCCATGAGACAGGATCACCAGGGTCCTCGCTGAGATTAGGGGGCATTACAACATCACCAGACCCATGCACAGAGGCTTTACGACAGAATCCACTGGAGCAATGTGTTTTCAGGCAGCCAGGCTGTTATCAGTTGTTATCACACCCATAATTATGCACCAGAAGAGGCAAACTGCACCTATCAGCAGGCCAGAAGGTGCACATCATCGAAACATGCTGTAATTAGATAAACCTCTAGCAGCTGTGATGACAGGAGCACGGTCACTGTTGGTGATGCTGTGAAGCCCGTCCATGTGCAGTAGGGACAACCACAACCTTCCTCTGGTTTTGGGTCTAAACCTGGTTTATTCTATTGTACCCATGATGACAAAGGTTTGGCATATGATAACAGCCTATTGGACCTACTAGGAGGTGGAGCAGCATGGAAGAGGATTAGGGCCACTGGATGTAGATCACGGACGAGAAGTCCTCCTGGTGCACAGAAAAAAGGGACATTTCCATTTTATGACCACTGGCCAAACTCCATCTGGTAAGGAAGACCATGCGATGGGAACAAAAGCTCCTCAGCAAACAGTGAACTGACCTTAGAATTTCATAATTTAATACATTAATATACAAAAACACAACCTCTGGTTATGTTGGTGTAAAGTTAAAACATCTAAAAACAATAGTTAAAAGTATTTTATTGGTATGAAACTTCTTCTGCTTGGCTTAATAGGTGTAATCGACATATAAAATGAAAATGGTTCATTTTACATATTTGCAACCTCCCCCTACATGTTTATATTACAAAGATACTGTTCGGGTCAATTTGAGCCTCAACAGAAGAGGTGTCTCGTTAAGTTATCAACATCACTTCATTAAAAAAAACATTTCAAAATGTAAAACAAACTTTTAAAAAAAAATCTATGTCATGTAAAAATAATGTATTTTATAAGTAGGTCTTTCCAATGTACATTAAAAAAGTATTAACATGCATCCATCCATTTATCTATCCGTTTTCCTCCTCTTATCCGGAACCGGGTCGCGGGGGCAGCAGTCTAAGCAAAGATGCCCAGACTTCCCTCTCTCTAGACACTTCCTCCAGCTCCTCCGGGGGAATGCCAAGGCGTTCCCAGGCCAGCCAAGAGACGTAGTCCCTCCAGCATGTCCTGGGTCTTCCCCGGGGCCCGCTCCCAGTGGGACATGCCCGGAACACCTCCCTAGGAAGGCGTCCAGATGCCCGAGCCACCTCAGCTGGCTCCTCTCGATGTGGAGGAGCAGCGGTTCTACTCTGAGCTCCTCCCAGGTGACCAAGCTCCTCACCCTATCTCTAAGGGTGCGCCCAGCCACCCCTAGGAAGGCGCCCAGGAGGC